ACTCTTCGCCACCACCCACACCCAGCTTCCCGCCCTATGACGTTCGGACACTTCACTTCGTGGCATGCGGACGACCGTGGCTACTATTCAGGGCCCCGCGGCCGACGACGACGGCGTGCGCGCGCGAAGAAAAAACGAATGTGTCCCGCATGGTATTATTTGACAGGGATGATGGCCCTGGCAGGTGCGCAACCGTTGTTGCAGAAGTTCGAAAAAGTTGCTCGCAAAAGCCCGTTTGACAGAAATGTTTAAAAAGTGTTGGGTTTCCTACGAATCCGCAAGAGCGCGCGGGATGAAATGTTGACATTTTTTTTTTGAAAAACCATTGGTTTTTTGATGTTTTTATGTTAAAATCGCTACGAAAACTAAGGTTTTGGAAGGATTTCGTCTTGCGCGCGCGAATGTCCACTTTACCTTATTTTTTGCAAGGGATTCTTGAAGTTTGGTTATGTTAGAACAAGAAATGTCATTTTATATTGTTTTTTGCAAGGGAAAGCGGGGGGGAACAAAACAACCGGATCTGGATCACATCGTTTTGTCAAGGGCTTTCGCTCGAAAATGATGAAAACATGGCTGCGGCCTAGGCGCGGCGAGGGGGCCGTGCACCAGGGGCCCCAACAATAATTATTCTTTAGAAGTAATAATGTTTCATTTAAGACTGGGGACACTCCGTTCTCACCAGTGCCAGGGTTTTCATAGGAGGCGGGCAATACCCCCACTTTGTGGGGGGGCCGGTTCAAGCTCTACCAAATTTCCAAACGACTCTTCGCCACCACCCACACCCAGCTTCCCGCCCTATGACGTTCGGACACTTCACTTCGTGGCATGCGGACGACCGTGGCTACTATTCAGGGCCCCGCGGCCGACGACGACGGCGTGCGCGCGCGAAGAAAAAACGAATGTGTCCCGCATGGTATTATTTGACAGGGATGATGGCCCTGGCAGGTGCGCAACCGTTGTCGCAGAAGTTCGAAAAAGTTGCTCGCAAAAGCCCGTTTGACAGAAATGTTTAAAAAGTGTTGGGTTTCCTACGAATCCGCAAGAGCGCGCGGGATGAGATTTTGACATTTTTTTGTTGAAAAACCATTGGTTTTTTGATGTTTTTATGTTAAAATCGCTACGAACACTAAGCTTTTGGAAGGATTTCGTCTTGCGCGCGCGAATGTCCACTTTACCTTATTTTTTGCAAGGGATTCTTGAAATTTGATTATATTAGAACAAGAAATGTCATTTTATAGTGTTTTTTGCAAGGGAAAACGGATTACAACAAAACAACCGGATCTGGATCACATCGTTTTACCTGAGGCTTCCTCACGAAAATGATGAAAACGTGGCTGCGGCCTAGGCGCGGCGGGGGGGGGCGTGCACCAGGGGGCCCAACAATAATTATTCTTAAGAAGAAATAATGTTCAACAACAACAACAACACCACTCAGTTTAAGACTGTTTGCTCTTATCTGCTCGCGTGCCATTCCAACACGTCTATTACACACCCTGGACGCCCGCCCTCTTCGTCTTCGAACGTACCCCCTTGTGGGTGCATCTGCCTTACCTTCAGTGTGTATACCGTGCAATCCATGATGTGAGGGAAAAGAGGGCGGATGGCAGGAAGGGGCAAGGGGGAAATAGGAGGATGGAGCACGAGAGAGGATAGCAGAAGGGGGCGAGGAACAGAAACCACGCGGCAAAACCAGACGGGCTGACAAGGCGGATAAACCCTGGCGGGCGGGTCGGGAAGGCGGGCCCAGGCGGCCAGGTCGAGCAGGCGGGTTACTGAAGCGTGCGCCCTGCATGAATCGCAAGAAAGCCTCGAACGATAGCGCGATTCCCAAGTAAACCGAAAGGCGATCCACAGCGTGATTCCTGAGCGTCGAAGGCGCGGCGTCTGCATAAGTTGCGAAGACACCCCGCGCGAGAGCGCGATTTCTGCACCAGTTGTCAAGAAATTCCGCGCGAGAGCGCGACTTGGGAATATATTGTGAGGAAGTATCAAGCGGGGGCCGCTGTTGTTGTAAACTGGGGGGCGGCGCTGTGGGCTGGGGCCTCTGGGGGCTGGGGCATCTGGGGGCTGGGGCCTCTGTGGGCTGCGTCGGGAGCCTCAGTGGGCAGCGCGCTGGTGCCTCTGCGGGCTCTGTTGGAGGGTCTCAGTGGGCACCGCGCGCGGGAACCTCTGTGGGCGCGTTTGGAGCCTCTGTGGGCTGGGACCTCTGTGGGCTGGGGCCTCTGTGAGCGGCGTCGGGGGCGACAGTGGGCAGCACGCTGGGGCCTCTGTGGGCTGTGTTCGGGGGCCTCAGTGGGCAGCGCGCGCGGGGGCCTACGTGGGCACGCTTGGGGCCTCCGTGGGCTGAGGCCTCTGTGGGCGGGCTTGGGGCCTCAGTGGGCTGCGTCGGGGGGCCTCAGTGGGCAGCGCGCTGGGGCATCCGTGGGCGCGCCTGGGGCGTATGTGGGCTGCGTCGTGGGGCCTCAGTGGGCACCGCGCGGGAGCCTCCGTGGGCGCGCTTGGGGCCCCTTGTGGGCTGGGGCCTTTGGGGGCTGCGTTTGGGGCCTCAGTGGGCAGCGCGCGGGGGCCTCCGTGGGCACGCTTGGGCCGGGACCTCTGTGGGCGCGCTTGGAGCGTCAGTGGGCTGCGTCGGGGGTCCTCAGTGGGCGGCGCGCTTGGGGCCCCTTGTGGGCTGTAGCCTCTGTGGGCTGCGTTCGGGGCCTCAGTGGGCAGCGCGCGCGGGGGCCTACGTGGGCACGCTTGGGGCCCCTCGTGGGCTGCAGCCTCTGTGGGCTGCGTCGGGGGGCCTCAGTGGGCAGCGCGCTGGGGCCTCCGTGGGCGCGCTTGGGGCGTCTGTGGGCTGCGTCGTGGGGCCTCAGTGGGCACCGCGCGGGAGCCTCCGTGGGCGCGCTTGGAGCCTGTGGGCTGGGCCTTCTGTGGGCTGTGTTCGGGGGCCGCAGTGGGCAGCGCGTTGGGGCCCCCGTGGGCGCGCCTGGGGCCTCTGTGGGCTGGGGCCTCTGTGGGCGCGCTTGGGGCCTCTGTGGGCTGCGTTGGGGGGCCTTAGAGGGCAGCGTACAAAGACCTCTCTGGGCGCGCTTGGGGCCTCAGCGGGCTGAGGCCTCCGTGGGCTGTCGGCGGCCTCTGTGGGCAGCTCGCTGGCGCCTCTGTGGGCGCGTTTGGGGCCTCTGTGGGCGCGCTTGGGGCCTCTGTGGGCTTCGTCGGGGTGCCTCAGTGGGCAGCGCGCTGGGGCCTCCGTGGGCAGCGCGTTTGGGGCGTCTGTGGGCTGGGGCTTCTGTGGGCTGTGTCAGGGGCCTCAGTGGGAAGCGCGCTGGGTTCTCTGTGGGCACGCTCGGGGCCTCGGCGGGCTTCGTCGGAAGTCTCCGTGGGCAGCGTGCCGGAGCCTCTGTAGGCGCGCTTGGGGCCTCTGTGGGCTGTGCCGGAGGGCCACGGCCTGTGGGCTTACTCTCGGCCTCTGTGGGCTGCGTTGGGGGCTTCAGTGGCCAGCGCTCAAGGGCCTCTGTGGGGGCGGCTGGGACCTCTGTCGGCTGGGGCCTCTGTGGGGTCCTCTGCGGGGCCGTGTCCGAGGGCCTCAGTGGGCAGCGTGCTCGAGCCTCTCTGGGCGCGCGGGGGCCTGTGTGGGCTGTGTCCGAGGGCCTCTGTGGGCAGCGTGTTAGGGCCCCCGTGGGCGCGCTTGGAGCTTCTGCGGGCTGTGCCCAAAGGCCTCAGTGAGCAGCGTTCTGGGGCCTCTGTGGCCAGGGCGTCTAAGAGTAAATTGCGAGGCCGTGTCGAGCGGGAGCACCTGCCGTCGCAGGTGGGCCTCCAGCGCTGCTACTGAATTTCAGTCAGTCTCTGGCCACAGGGTCTCAAAGTACAGCTCGAGTAAGTATCCACCAACTTGACTGAATGACGAGAGCGTCTCGAGCGAGAGCGCCATTCTTGACTTCGGGGGCCTCTCTGGCAAGGGCCTCTGCGAAAACATCTTGAGGAAGTATCGAACGAGAGCCCTTGTCGTCGTAGTTGGGCCTCCACCAATTTGATTCAAGAAAGTCTCGAGCAAGAGCGCCGTTCCTGAGTTCGGGGGCCTTCCTGGCCAGGGGCTATCGGAATAAATCGTGAGGACATATCGAGCAGGAGCCCTTGTCGTCGTGGCTGGGCCTCCGCCAACTTGACTGACTTGCGAGGAAGTCTCGAGCGAGAGCGCCGTACCTGAATTCTGGAGCTTCTCTGGCCACGGTAACTTGTGAGAAAATGCAAAGCAAGAACCGTTGTCGTTGCAGCCGGGCCTCCAAGGGCACACATTTACGCTCAAGCCAACGCTCGCCCAGGAGCCTCGTTTTCAGAGGAAATGTAGCCAGCGTCGAGGCGAGAGCGCGCGGAACCGTTTCTGGAGATCAGCAGAAACTATTCTGTAGAAAAGAATATTCAACTACAAACAACTCAAGCGTAAAACCTCGATCCTCGACCCTGCCCCGTCCAGAAGAACAACCAACTACATGAGCATATACGTTCGGAGATCTGCGCGGATTTCTTGGGTTGGCGCAGGGCCCCCGTCCCACGCAGACCTCCCAATGTGTGTTTATGCTGTGTTTGGTTCTTCAACCCTGCTGGGTATTCAGTAGACGCGGCCGCAGATCGATGTAGGAACTTAGTTTTTCCTGCCACTCTCCTGCGCCCCCCCGCGCGGAAGACTCGCGCTCGTGGCGCTATCCTGCCACTTCCGCGCGTGCTGCTGAAGCATACATGATTGGGCACCCGTCTCTGTGGCGCCGATCTTGGTATGATGGAAGAACGGGGTCCTGAGGAAAACGACTCCTGGACCCAGGACGCTTCTAGGAAACTTCCCCGTTTCCTCTTACCCCCCCTCCATGGGCGCGAAGTAGTGTGGGGCAATACCTTGAGGGGGAGAAAAAATGCACCTTTCTGCGGCCCTCGCTGCCCCCGCATTTATCGCCCGCCCATTTCGCGGCCTCCAACCTCTGCGCGCGGCCGAGCGATGATTCCCCCGCCCGGGCGGTTCCCGCCGGGACCATGTCCACGCCCGGTCGCCGTAGAGGCGGGTCACCGGCGCCGCCAGCGGCGTCCCCGCGGCGGAGGCGCCGCAAGTCGCCCTCCTCCTCGTCGCCCGCCCCCTCGCGTTCCCGGTCCTGTCTGCGGTCGGAAAGTGGGGAGCGATCCTCCTCCACATCCTCTTCCTCCCCCTCCTCGTTTTCTTCTTCTTCTTCATATCATTTGTATTACTGTTATTGGTGATAAATCGAATAATATGATTGTGCGGTTCTTTTTGTCCTCGATATTATATAATTAGTATGAGTACTGCTATTCATATTATTCTCCGTGTGCTCCCATTAACGATGGTATGATGCCAGTTTTCCGTCAGGCGGGAAGCTTTCGCAACCCGATTGAGTGGGAAAACGTGTTCGTGTTACTCCTGGTGACTTTCTTCCTGTAGTAATTGCATGCTCAGATCAAAGCGACGTATTGGAGATGTAGTTATTCCCGCCATTACTTCAAACCTATACGACCACCCTTCGGGCGATAACGAGGTTGCGAGGGGGGGGCGGGGGAAATTAACATCTGACTCAATCAATCTCACCATCGATATCACTCAACAGGAAACCACGGGCCACCACGGGCCACCACGGCGGGACACCACTGGACACAGCGGGGCACTTCTCGATCTCACTATCGGTTTCACTGTCGATCTCATTATCGATCCCACGATCGATCTTACCATCGGTTTCACTATCGATCTCACTCAACGGGACACAACGGAACACCACAGGATACCACGGGACACCTGTCGATCTCACTATCGATCGCACTATCAATATCACTCAACGGGACACCGCGGGACACATCGGGGCACCACGTCGATCTCAATATCGATCTCACTATTGATTTCACTATCGGTCTGACTGAACGGGACACCGCGGGACACCGCGGGACACCGCCGGACGGACGGACGGACGGACGGATGGGCGGGCGGGGGAGAATAATTTGTTCTGACTTCGCCCTGTCAACGGCGGACACCACGGGACATCACGGGACACCACGGGACACCGAGGGGCACCGCGGGACACCGAGAGCCGCCGCCGGACGGGCGGGCGGGGGGGAAACATTTGTCCTGACTTCGCCCTAGCAACGGCGGGTTCATTCTCTCGCGCGCCCACGCAGCTTCGCCTCGCCCGCGCGCACGACGCGAACGGAACGAAACGATTTCCTGGTTGGGGGTCTCCGTTCCACTGCGATCTCACCCCCCAACCTCCGATGAGTATGCGCCGTTCAGTTATGACGAAAGTCACGCAACACAGAAGAGGGCCGGCCGGCCGGGGGAGGGCGCCCCGGAAGGCGCGCGCGCGCGGCGGGCGGGCCGATCCTCTTTTCCGCGACCGAAGCCGAAACAGCTCTGGCATGTCAACGATGTCTGGCGGCGGCGGGACAACGATGCTGAGGCAACGCAGAGGCGCGACTAAATCAGCTCCCCCCGCGGCCTCCCCGGCACGCTCCACTCGCGCGGGTGGGCGTTGACGATTTGTCAACGCCCCGCATTGTGCACACACACATATACATATATATATATATATATATATATATATATATATGTATCGGTAATATATATATATATATATATATATATATATAGCGGCCCGTCGCGCCGCGCCCGGCAGGCAGCTCGCCCGCTACCTGGCCCGCAGCGTTCCGAGACGCTCGGTGCGCGACGCGGATGCGTCAAGAGGACACTCGTAACATAGCTGCACTCAATCAGAGCTTGCCTCTGTAGGGGTCCTAGCGGATTTACGGGTAGGTGAGGTAAGCCGCCGATTCGGTGGCCGGGCCCGGGTGCCCGGGTGCCCGGGTGCCCGGGTTCGCCGCGCCGATTCGGTGCATGGCCGGGCCCGGGTCCCCGGGTGCCCGGGTGCCCGGGTGCCCCGGTTCGCCGCCGATTCGGTGGCCGGGCCAGGGTGCCCGGATGCCCCCGTGCCTGGGTGCCCGGGTGACGGGTGCCCGGTGCCCGGGTGGGTGCCCGGGTGCCGGGTGCCCGGGTGCCCGGTGCCCTGTAGCCCTATAGCCTTATAGCCCTATATCCATATCGCCCTATAGCCCAGAATAGCCTTATAGCCCTATAGCCCTAGAGCCCAATAGCCCTATAGCCCCAAACAAATTCTGATTGGGGTTTTCTCCCGTATCATATGAATGTATGTCTGTATGTCTGTCTGTCTGTCTGTCTGTCTGTCTGACTGCCTGTCTGCCTGTCTGCCTGTCTGTCTGTCTGTCTGTCTGTCTGTCCGTCTGTCTGTCTGTATGTATGTATGTATGTATGTGTATTCGCCACCGTGCCTGCGCGGAGTGGGCGTGTTAGAATGCTATTGTGACCTCTCCGGGAATGTTTATCCCAACCATCCTGTGAGGTTGGGCCCACGTTATGAGGAGACAGCGCCCCGCGTTCTCCCGCCTCCTTCCTCCCGCCTCCTCCCTCCTCCCATTCCTGCCTCTGCTCCCCGCATGTCCATTTCGACACACCAATCACACGCCTCGTGGCTCCATGGGAAGCTCCACCGACGGCCCCCCCAGCGGCAGGGTCGGCATGGCGGCCCCGCACCCGATTCGGCATACGCCTTGCACGCCTCGTGGCCCCATGGGGAGCTCCACCGACGGCCCCCCCAGCGGCAGGGTCCGCACGGCGGCCCCGCGCTCGATTCAGCACACGCCTCGCACGCCTCGTGGCCCCATAGGGAGCTCCATCGAAGGCCCCAGCGGCAAGGTCCGCACGGCGGACCCGCACCCGATTCGGTACACCCCTCACACTTTCGTGGCCCATACACTCGGGATTGATTGGATAAGACACGCGATAGGACGCAAGACCCTTCCGAGGGCCACATTGCCATAGGAATGTAGGAGGCACGGGTCGCGACACACAGGGCACAAGGGTACCCTTGATTGGCAGGGTCGACCTACTAATCGACCTCGACTGTAGGGAGCTCCGTCCGCAGGGCGGCCGCGCCCCGGATTCGGCGAGGGCAAAAGGGAGACGAGGGGAAGGATGCAGATCTTGACGGCTGGCAACTTGATGTTGTTTCGATGCGTGGCCCCAGAGGTCTCGACCCCTTCCCCAAAGGGTATTTTTTCGCCCCAGACCCAATTTTGATGGTCCCAGGGACCGATGGCTGGCTCCAGGGCCCGAAACCAAGAAAAAACTGCCGGATTGAAAGAAACAGATCGGCGGAGATCGGGCGAGTGGTAATGGTGGGTGGCCTGCATGGGGGATGCAGAAAAGGGCCCTAGAAGAGGTCCTTGAGGGGCCCTGGCTGGCTCCAAAGGAGCCCCAAAGACTTCCTTTGGGGCTCCACTCTTGAACCCCCACTTGGGTCACCCCCCCATGTACGCTCCGCCCCAGTACCACCCGTTGGGTCACCCCTTCTGTGACTACCTCCCAGACCACCCCAACCCAACCCGAAGACCCGAATTTCGGGTTGGGGGGGGTAAGGGTTCCACACGTGTTTTTTCGATGGTTCCCGACCCCCCCCCACTGGAAATCGAGGATAAATTTGGGCCTTCGGGTTGAGTTGGGGTGGTTTGGTGGGTGGAGATTCTGGTCCTCGCCGCCGGCGTCTCCGCGCCGCCGCGACCGGTGGCGGTCACCCCGGCGGCGCTTTCCAGCCTTGTCGCCACCTCCGCGCGGTGGTCACGCCAGCCGGCGAGGCCAGGGAGGCAAGGGAGGGCCCGAGGTGCGCACTCCTGCCCTCCTCCTCCTCCTCCTCCTCCTCCTCCTCCTCCTCCTACTCCTCCTACTCCTCCTACTCCTCCTACTCCTCCTACTCCTCCTCCTCCTCCTCCTCCTCCTCCTCCTCCTCCTCCTCCTCTTCCTCCTCTTCCCGGACATCCAACTTCCCGCACGAGTCCTGGCGGAAATTGCTCGCCGCTGTCGGCCTCTGGAGGCACTCGCCAGGCCCCGGGGCCGTCACAAAACGGCTCGGAAGACGAACTGGTCACGGGGTCGACGTGCTGAAAAGACATTGGAAGTCGGGGATGCTCAACCTCCTCTCCCTCCTCCTGCTGCACGTCCAGCTCCTGCTCGCAGCAGTATGCGTCGTGCTTCCGCTCGTCCCCCCCCCTACTCCAGTCATTCTTCCTCCTCGACACCACCCCACACCACTCCTCCTCCTCACCACCACAGGTGCCCAGCTTGGGCACAAATCGGGCCGAAAAGCTTACCCTGGATGAGAACAGCAGAAAGCTTGCCTGGACCAAGCAGCTCAGCATGAAAGAAAGGAGTCCCAAAGGAAACATGCCCTGGACACCGGGGGCCTTCCCCAAGGACCGGCTGTTCATCCTGAGCAGCTTTTTGATCCTCCTCACGCGTCGTGCCACAGAGACCGAGACAGTGACAGCGAGGGGAGACTGGACGCAACGCCAGGTAGTTTACCAGAAACGCCTGCTGGGATTACCAGTGGGTCTCGATGTCACCCCAGACGACGTCTGTCAAGAACTCGACGCCCGCCTGGTAAATCGGCTTTCCGCCTTCGAGACGGCCCCTTCGTCGAAGCCTGCCCGCATATTCGCAGCAAACACTTTCTGCCTGCCGCTCTTTGCGTACATCTGGAGGTTGTTCATCCCAAACGCTGCCCGTGCCCAGGTGAAGAGCATGATCAGACGTTTCCTTGCTCCTATGCCCGCTCTGAAATCGGCTGCATTATCCCACTTGCGCAGGCGGTACGGCATCCTGATGTGCTTGCGCGACCTTCAACTGATGAACGTGTCTGCGCTGATCGGGAAGGCGGCCCAACTGGAACGTTTCGACGTGGGCAAAGTTAGCTCCGCAAAGGATCTGGGCACCGACGGCCACCCCATGCTGACCATCGCTCGGACGTCCATTTCCTGTGTTTTTGTTCGGTTTGGTGCGTGGCTTTTTCGCGAAATGATCAAGGATGCTTCTCGATGGTCCTCGCCGAGGGAAAAAAAGGGCGAACATTGTTCCCCATCCGTCCCCAGCGGCTACGCCACGGGGAGGCTTTCGGGGGGAAGGGCCCCAAATGTTCACCCACACCTCGGGGAATCCTTCTGTCCAGTGGTCTATCACTGGTGCGCTCACGAACTCTCCATAGACAGTCTCACACCGCGCAGCAGGGCCGACGGTGGGACCGATGACCTCTCCTTTCTCGAGCGTTCGAACTGCACGATGAGCCTCCCCTGGCGGGTTCGTATACAACTTACTGACCAACCTCGTCTTTTTAATCAGGGTACGTCTGAAAGAATGTACCGACGGGGATCTGGCCCAGATCAGGGGGAGCACAATCGAAACGGCATGCTGCCTTTCGTTCGAAAGTTGTCCAGTGCACTGTCCACGGATCCTGCGAGACCTGGGAATACAGACATTGAAAAATCGTCTGTGATGTTGCATCCAGGTCAGCCTTCAACGCGGTCACGACTTTGTCGCTCCGCATACAATATGTCATGCCTCCACATCGTGTAGCGCCAATTCCACCCTGTCTTGGGTACAAACTTGACGGTCCCGGTGTGCTCCAATCTAGACCACTCTCTCTCTCTCTCTCTCTCTCTCTCTCTCTCTCTCTTTTTGTCGGGAAAGCAACGGAACGTTGGTCTCTCTTTTTCGGAGTCAACGTCCCCTGGACCGGAGGTGGCCGTTTTCTTGGCGGGCTGACTGTCCTGGATAGCTGTTTCTGCTACGTTTATGCGGGCAACTATTTCTGCTCCGCGAATCTCTGCACCAGCTTCCATTGCGACGTCTTCATCAAACACGACATCGTTCGGGCTAAGATCTCTAGCCTCGTATTCATCCGGCTGAGCCGGCGGGCAAGCTTCCTCACTCGGCTGAGCCGGTGGGGTAGCCTCTCGAATTGTGTCGGGAGGAGCATATTCTTTGGGCTCAATCCCTGGATTTTCCGCCTCAAGTGAGTCGGGAATGTGTTCGACTATGATATCGTCTGAGCAGATCGAAACAGCGCCCTCCCCCGACGGTTTAACCGCAGGGTCTCCCAGCGGCGCAAACGTGATCAGAGGAAGAGAGAGGACGACGACGAGACGACAAAGATCTCTCTGCAGCTCGAGCACTGACAAAATGGACCTGTCTGGCAAAAGCATCCGTGTAATCTTCTGCACTCTTGCACTCACGTCCTCTAGCTTCAACATGCTCGCGCGTGCTGTCGCATTTGCGCTCAAGTCCCTCCGCGACGTCAGAGGAGGTAGAAGCTATCGTCCAGGGCTTATTCATGAAATTACCCCTGCTATCCTTTAATCCGTACGCACATCCATGCAATGCCGTCTTGACAAACTACAGCTCTCTAGTGAAGTCTTTTACCTGAGGAGCCCTCCAATAGTTACATTGGGTAGGCCACTAAATGCAAGCAACGCCCCCCGCTTTGTGCACAGCGCGGGCAATCTCACAGAAATTCCAAAACAGATATCTGAAGTCTGTCCTAATACCACGAAGCCTACGCATCGCCCTGTGCTTTCCGGCACGGAAAGAATGTGCTTCGTTCGCATATTGCCAGGGGGAACATCCCGTGCAAGGCATGGAGCCCCACAGCGTAATGTGTTTTCCTTTGAACATTTTAATATCATTCAAAGCTAACCTAAGTCCCTCATCCGCCCTCATATCTTCCGTGTCAGTGCATCGAATCACCTTGCACGAGTTGTCAGCAAAATTATTTGGATGTCCTGTCCTGCTCTGAGGGCCACAACAATATTATGACAGGAATCTTTCCCCGGTCCACTGAGTGGCCGGGGCGCAATCTTCTCGGATCCAGAACTCGGTATATCCGGTCCACCTACTTGGGCAATAGTCACCGTCGCTGGAGTCGCCATTTGAATTATGTTCAAATCGGTGATGATATTTACTATCTTCGTCGCGCCAACTATCAATGCGGTCAACCGTCAAACATTGTTGGGTATTAACGGCATAGGTACGACGCCTACCATCTAACTTTTCGGGGTCGACGGGACAATCACCGATTATTGGCATAAACGTAACAAGTCTCGGAACGAAATGCCATCGTTTCAAACTCTGTCCCCGTTGTGTCCACGTATCCTTTTTGCCCAGAAAACTGGCAGCAGCCGCAGGTGGAGGATGGAGAAGGAGAAGGTTATGGTCAGGTATATCTTCCGTATCCCTCGGCAATATTGGTGTATCTGACTCAGTTTCGCTGTCCGCCATGTCAAACATTGCTTTCATTTCACGATTGGAGCTTTTCGTAGTTATGTCCTCCATCGTTCTGGTTTGCTCGGAACTTCTGCTGCAACCTTCTTCGGTCGTCGTGGGTGCACTGGCACTTGCTTCCGCGGCTTGGCCGGGCGCGTTCGCAACCACAGCTACGCCAGGGGCGCATGCCTCCACGGCTTTGCCGGGGGCGGCCACAACGGGCTTACCCTTATTGGGGCGCTTCTTCTTTTTGTTTATCTTTTCACTCGGTGCAGTAGCTCCTCTGCGCAAGGCCGAACTAGGACCTAAGCGGGCCTTCAAAATCCCCCCAGGTTCCAAGGGGAGTCCGTCTGAAAACGTCGAGTCTAGATAGTCCTGGTACCGCTTGGCCCCAGAATTGGATGTTACAATGTTGACAAGGTGTAAAACTTTGACCCAAGCCAAAGGGTCAGTGAACCTCTTGGTTCCAATGTCTGCAACCTCATGTTGAGTTCTTTCGTATTGTAGCCCCACTAGACCGCGAGAAAACTGTTCGGACACAGCTGCTGCATCAATCCGATGCGTTCTCGGTAGATGCATGAGCTTCATTGACCCACCCGCTTTGATGACTTTACACAGTGCTTGGTTATCTTCTAAAAACAAACATCGTACCTGTCTGTCAAGCAGTATTTCCCACAGCGGTAGTGCTGCCAGCAGTTCTTTGCGCAAAGCAAGATCAGCAGCGACAATATCTGCCTCAAGTGTACTGTGGGAAACGCAGGTCTGTCGCTGCGATCCCATAGACTGCCCAGCTCTGGCGCATGGGCCCCACATGGCTTGAAAGCTGGCACTCGTGCTACGATGCGTTCGAATGTCACTTGCGAGATCTGCGTCCGAGTATTGCTTCAACAAGACATCCTCCTTTTTGTCACCTACCCACGAAGTCATACGGTAGTGAGAGGTACATTTTGTATAACAGATGAGGCGGAACAGATCCATGTCTTGTTGCTCTGTCCATTTGGTAATGCAACTGGCAGTCTGGCAGACAGCGCGGATCAAGTCGCATCTAGCCATTCTCGCACCATAAGGTATTTTCACCAAGACCTTTGCCGCAATGGGTTGAAGCACTCCCAACTGCGTCGGTGGCTCTGGGTCATTGGGACCTGCCGCTGCAGCGTCAAGGCCAAGGACTTCAATTTTCTGATCAGGAGGACCTGAGTCAACCTTGATTTGTAATGCTGATGCTATGGCCTCCTCCGCCGGGGAGTAAACTTCGCCTCCGGGGCCTCTTGGGCCATCCTCGAGATCAGCTTGTTCTGGGCCAAAGGGTGTTCCAGCAGCGGGATAAGTAGCTGGGTCAGTGTCCGTCAGTTGAGCGCGCAATGTAATACAGGAGTCGAAGAATTCTGTCATGTCATATTCTATGACTCTGGCTAGTTTCGGCTCTCTCGGTTGGTATGGCTCGGACGGCCGAGCCGCCGAGTCACCCCCCGTTTCCTCCTCGCTACTCTCGTCTGCGACGCAAGCGTTTTTC